CAGCTGTAGGTCCATCTCATGTTGAGACTTCTATCTCTTCTGACTTAGATGTTCCTATTGCTCTTCGAAAAGGTAAACGATCTTGTCCGAAATATCCTATCTCTCTTTTTGTCTCTTATGACCGTCTCACCCCATCATTTCGTCAGTTTGCTTTGTCCTTGTCCACTGTATCTATACCCAGGTCACATGAGACAGCTATATTAGTACCAGCCTGGAAGCAGGCTATGGATGAGGAGATGAATGCACTGCTTTCTAGAGGGACTTGGGATTTGGTCTCTCTTCCTACTGGAGCGACTGTGGTTGGTTGCAGATGGGTGTATACCTTGAAATATCGTCCCGATGGGTCTGTTGACCGATATAAAGCTCGCTTGGTTGCTAAAGGATATACCCAGACATATGGCATTGACTATTTTGAGACTTTTTCTCCTGTTGCGCGTCTCAACTCCATCAGAATTATTTTCTCTTTAGCTGTCAATATGGATTGGACGATGCATCAACTAGATGTGAAGAATGCTTTCCTTTATGGTGATTTGGACGAAGAGGTTTATATGGAGCAACCTCCAGGGTATGTTGCTCAGGGGGAGAATATTATCTGCAGGCTGAGGAAGGCCATCTATGGGTTAAAACAGAGTCCTCGAGCTTGGTTTGATAAGTTCAGCAAGGTTATTTCTAGTGTTGGTTTCCAACGCTGCCAGTCTGATCACTCTGTCTTTATTCGACACACAACAACTGGTTTGGTTATTTTAGCCGTATACGTTGATGATATTCTGCTGACTGGGAGTGACTCTGTTGCCTTAACAGAGACTAAGGAGTATCTAAACCGTCATTTTGTCACTAAGGACATGGGAAAGCCTAAGTATTTTCTTGGGATTGAAGTTGCATATCAAAAGCATGGCCTGTTGTTATCCCAAAGGAAGTATGTGTTAGATTTACTAGAAGAAGCGGGTCTCTTGGGATGCAAGCCTGCAAGCACTCCAATGGAGGCAAATGTTGATTTGTGGCGTGATGATACATCTCTATTAGATGATGCTGGACGATACAGGAGACTGATTGGAAAGCTAATCTATTTGACAGTTACCAGACCTGATATTACATTTGCAGTAGGTGTACTGAGCAGGTTTATGCACAAACCTAGAGAGATTCATTGGACAGCTGCTCTGAAGATTCTGGCATATGTCAAGAGTTGTCCTGGTAAGGGATTGCTATATAAGAAGCATGGGCATACTCACATTTCTGCTTTCTCTGATGCTGGTTATGCAGGAGACATGGGAGATCGGAAGTCAACCTCAGGATTCTGTACTTTTGTTGGAGGTAATCTTGTGACTTGGAGAAGCAAGAAACAAGATGTAGTATCACGGTCTAGTGCAGAGGCCGAATATAGAGCAATGGCTCACACTGCCTGTGAGATGGTGTGGCTACGAAAGTTTATGACAGAGCTTGGTTTTGTTCAGCCTGGATCCATGCCTATGCATTGTGACAACCAGTCTGCCATTTACATTGCACAAAATCCGGTGTTTCATGAGAGGACAAAACATATTGAAGTTGACTGCAATTTTGTTAGAGATGCTTGGGAGAAGAAGATAGTGTCTCTCATATTCACTCCATCCTCACAACAACTTGCTGATATTTTTACCAAGGCTACTTCTTCAAAGGTGTTCTCTACTATATGTGACAAGCTGGGCATGATGGATATCTATGCTCCAGCTTGAGGGGGAGTATTAGATTAAGTCTATTGGGTATTGGGTTAATGGGCTGTGACCCGTTAACCATACCCTAGTTTGTATACCTATATATATATCCCTAACTATCTTAATAAAGTATTGATGAGGGTTTTGCTATTGAACACTGACAAAACAAACTAAATCACATCAAATGGGCAAATACTAAATCAAAGAAGACTAAACTGATCCAATCCAACGCATGGAGCTTTATGATGATTCGAGGATCATCTCAGTTTGCATGTTATGAAATCAGCAACGAGTATCCAGTATCTAATTGTCATCAATTGCTTCGCATCCGGAAAACACCCCTCTCCCTCGCCTCCTCTTCTTGTTTCTCTTGCTTATAATGTCACAATTAGAAGGTTTATAGCTTAGTTGCACGTGCTTGAACTACTTGTCCAGCAACCAGCAAGGCAAATATCTTTAATTTACACACTACTCTAACAGGTATAATGGCAAGTCTCTCTTGCTCATAACGTCTTCCACTAAGATGTGGCAGCAACTTAGAAAGAATGGTTTCAGACTAAGAGCCACTCCTAAAATTGGCTAACCTTTCTGGAAGGCCTTTTTAACATAAAATTATGACCAATAGACAACACGGGTTACATAATATCTTTAAATAACGATGAAGATCGTAATTGTTTTACACCTCAGATTATATTTTTTGCAACATATTTTTAAACAATTTACTAAACCATATATCAACAATCAATGCATCATGTATATAAGATGACAAGTGACAACCATCAATTCCTTAGACAGGTTAGCATATCAACAGAATGTGAGGTAACTTGATGTGAGTTAACAAGCCTGTTTAAAAGTTATTGTGTAGGACACCCAACACTTGTGTCTTGCACCCAAGTAAATTGTTTACAAGTTATCGTGTAGGACACTCAACACTTGAACTCAATAAACAATGTTACTTATGGTTTTATCTGGTTTGATAGTGTTGGTCTGCATCGTAGATTTTCTTACTAAAATAACATTCCTGCAAGACAACTTGTGGGAAACAAGGTTTGTGAAGCCATTTATGTGGCCACAAAAAAGTATGTGCATGACCACCACATTGAAGAAGATTATGTGCTTCAATTGTGCGGATAGGCAGATAACGGCTTGCATGAGGGCTATGCACTTGCATAGCCGACATATGCATTTTTTTTGTTTCTTATACTTGACACGTCTTTCTATTAAACTCTTGCATCAACTGCGCCAACTAAACAAGTTTTTAGAGACTAGTCCCTATCACTCAACAAAATCCAATTGATCCTATCTCAATCCAAAGAGATGATTTCATTCTCTTCTCTCCCTTAGGACAACAATCTAACAAGGAGTAAGATGTGGAACTTTTTCATTTTATCTTTCTCTAATTCCTTCTTTTCTATTCTTCTTGTTATTCCTGTTCTCTCCTACTCTCAATATCTAGTCCTTGAATTTGTAGCAATAAAAAAACAACTTGTTCTTTAATCTGTTACAGCATCATCAAAAAAGGTTTAGAAGATAATAAATTTTTGTTCGATTAACTATTGGTTTTTGTTTGCTGTTTATTGCATTAAATTTTTAAAGGAATTTATAACACATGGGCCTATGGCTAGTTACTTAGGTTATTTTCTCATAAACATATATTATTAGGATTTTGCATTTTATGTAATTTTATTGTATTTCTCTATTTTGCATATTTTTTTTTTGTAATTTTCAATCACGTAAAATGTAAATAATAAGTATTTAACCAACCCATTTTTGCATAATTAGGTTATGTAACAAATAACACAATTATGTGTTATTTGTCATCCAACCATACAAATAGCGTATACATATTTTTAATTTTTTACAACACTGACATATAATGCATTTTATCCATGTTGGCATTTTCGAAAGGTTCTTAAGGGAAAACAACACTTTGTATCACTATTAAACGCCATCTTGAACCCCAATCTGGCAACATGGTCAATCCTCTGGCAATACCCTGACAAATTTCTATCCCAATGCCCATCAAGTAACAAAAACTCGATGATATGAGGCAATATGGGTGATTATTTTGTCTGAACTCCATAATACATGGGAATATAACATGTCCACTGTATGATTTTGCATATGAATCAAGAAGCATCGGTCTCTTTAGGCACGTGTATGCACAAAAGCACACACAGTGTTGTTCACACAATTCTGATTACAAAAAGATAATAGGAGAAGCATAGAGGATTAAAAAGTAAATTTATGCTCGAGCAAAATGGCATATATTTAGCATCAAACTCCTTCGGGTTGATTCATTTGATTGAGCATTATTAATCCAATTAATATTGGATACTAGCAACCAAAATGGGAATCACGTGCCTGTACGGAGTAAGAACAAAGGAGACTATTGACACAGAACCCCTAATCGCATAATAGATGTGATACGTTAAGATTAGGAGTATTCTGATCATTAATAAAATTACAATCAGTGAACAATCTTGCAAAAGATACCACAAAAAGTACATCACATCTGAAAACCCACCTCAATGATAGAGCGAAACTTTATATGGACGACCATGAAACCTAAAACGAAAGAGAGGTTCCTCCATTAGTCCCATGAACGAAGGTTACAGAAAGCACTAGGCGTTCTAGGCGTTGGACCCAACGCTTAGAGCCTAGGCACCTAGGCGGGAGCCTACGCGGGCCTAAGAAGTTTCTTGACAACAATTAATAGTAAATGTCAATGTTATAGAAAGCTTAGGCGCCGGGTTGGCACTAAGGCAAATTTTTTTCTTCATTTAAGTGGTGGTGGAAGAGGTTTTGCTAAAGGTTGGAGGACGTAGCGCAGGTGTTCATAGTTGGAGGTTGAAGGAGTTTGGAAGAGGTTGGAGGCCGTGAAGGCAGAGGAAATCACAATCAAGATCTAAAGGGTGCAGTCCACGTAAGCAGACCACACCCCCTAGGTGCTCCCAAAATCTAGACGAGCAGTCTCAGTACCGCCTAGGTACTAGGCAGGCAGTAGCGCCTAGGCCTAGGCATAAGTACCACCTAGGCCTAGGTGTACGCCGAGGCGGGCTAGGCGTAGACTTTTTAAAACATTTCCATGAACTTGAAAATTCATTTTTTTTAAAAAAGGCTATATTTTCCCAATCTTCTGATTAGTTAGTTATTCTATGGGTTCAGGAATCCGCCATTGCTTGATAGACACAAAATTTATTCCCATTATTTCCAACAAACAACCACAAAATTTTCAAAACAAGCAACGCAAAGATTAATATTAATAAGTTAGCAATTGCAATCAATATAAGTAACGCCATGCGATGTAACCTTTGATAGCTAAAAGAGTGCGCAGACGAACCACGGCTGACGCCCGGTTCTTGTGCTGGGACCTATCTTCAACTGCCTAAAAACAACAAACAAGTTCAAAACTTTTCCACCCAAAAAATGAAAATTAAAAGAACTGAGAAAGGAAAAAAAGAAGAAAAAGATTGTTGGGTACCTGAGCGATGATGCCAGTGGGGAGATGCTTGAGCCTGACTGCGGATTCACGCTTGTTGCGGTGCTGGCCTCCGGGGCCTGAGGCCTTGAAGGTTCCCATATCGCACTGGGACATCAGCTCATCGTCCGTCAGGGTTAGGTAATTAACTTCAGTGGACGACGAACAGAAGAGCTTTATTCTTGTCGTTCTTGAAGAAGTCAAGAGTGAGGGTTTGTGGGTTTGATGGAATCTGAGGAAAAGAGGAGGAGGAGAGGCTGAAGGTATTGAAGGATTAGAGAGAGGCCACAATTTCAGAAGAAGAGATCGAGCCATTGGGTTTCTTTTGAGCAGGAAAGAGGGATTTTTATATTCGACGAGTTAGAGAGAATGGACAGCCAGAGCCCTTTTTTGGGTTTCGTACTTTATTAGTGGCTGTTTGGTTCATTTTCAAAAAAAAAAAATGGAAATGAATTCCCTCACAAAAATTAAAGGAAAAAATGTGTCCAGGCCCCAAAAACAGAAACTTCATGTGCTGCAGCCCCTCCTAGTTTCCCTCATGTGGTTCAGCCCCTTGAAGTGTCACATTTTGTGCTGCAGCCCCATTTTAATAATTATTACATGTCAGCTAAGCTAAAATCCCCAAAATAACCTTAACCCCTCTCCTCAATCCTTCAAACCCAGTTCTCTCTCTCTCTCTCTCTCTCTCTCTCTCTCTCTCTCCGGAGTTCGTCGCTGCGCCTGCCACTTTTGAACCCTATAGTATGGTAGGCCGGAGGAGGATGACCAGGAGAAAAGAGTGCATGATGCCCAAGAAAAATGAAAATGAAGGGGCTGCAGACACAAGGCCACTCTTTTTTTTTGGAATTTGATGAGAAGCCACTGCTTGTTAAGGAGATTGTTAGTCAAGATGGCGAAGAGATGCCTGTTGGGTTTGAAATTTTAAGAGCTCATCTTAGTGCTGGAGCTGAGGAAGGAGATGGTGAAGCTTTTTTTGATAAATTTGATATTGGTATTCTTATCTTTGCTTGGGTTTTGTCATGGAGTATTCTCCCTGAAGAAATATTGAATGCCTTAACTTGCAGGAATTTGATGCTAAAATTTGATGTTGGTATTCTTATCTTCGCTTGGATTTCATACCACAAATGCTCTCATTCTAACAAATTAGAACTAACAAATTAGAACTAACATTTTATAACAAATTAGAACTAACCATATTAGTTCTAATTTATAACAAGTTAGTTCTAATTTATAACAAATTAGAACTAACATTTTATACCGCGTTAGTTCTAATGTATACCAAGTTAGTTCTATTTTATACCACGTTAGTTCTAATTTTAACCATATTCGTTCTAATTTATAACAAGTTAGTTCTAATTTATAACAAGTTAGTTCTAATTTATAACACCGCGTTAGTTCTAATTTATACCATGTTAGTTCTAATTTATACCAAGTTAGTTCTAATTTATACAATGTTAGTTCTATTTTATACCAAGTTAGTTCTATTTTATACTAAGTTAGTTTTATGTTATAACAAGTTAGTTAGTTCTATTTTATACCGTGTTAGTTCTAATTAATAACAAGTTAGTTCTATTTTATACCACGTTAGTTCTAATTTTAACCATATTAGTTCTAATTTATACCAAGTTAGTTCTAATTTATAACAAGTTAGTTCTAATTTATAACAAATTAGTTCTAATTTATACCACGTTAGTTCTAATTTATACCAAGTTAGTTCTAATTTATACAATGTTAGTTCTATTTTATACTAAGTTAGTTCTAACACGCTACAGAATAGAACTAACACTGTGCAGATTAGAACTAACACACTACAGAATAGAACTAACATTGTGCAGATTAGAACTAACACTCTACAGAATAAAACTAACACTGTGTAGATTAGAACTAACACGCTACAGAATAGAACTAACTGTGTAGATTAGAACTAACATGAGTTAGTTCTATTTTTATACTAAGTTAGTTCTATTTTATACCAAGTTAGTTCTATTTTATACCAAGTTAGTTCTAATTTATACCACATTAGTTCTAATTTATACCGCGTTAGTTCTAATTTATACCAAGTTAGTTCTAATTTATACCGTGTTAGTTCTAATTTACACCACGTTAGTTCTATTTTATACCACGTTAGTTCTAATTTTAACCATATTAGTTCTAATTTATAACAAGTTAGTTCTAATTTATAACAAAATAGAACTAACATTTTATACCACGTTAGTTCTAATTTATACCAAGTTAGTTCTATTTTATACCACGTTAGTTCTAATTTTAACCATATTAGTTCTAATTTATAACAAGTTAGTTCTAATTTATAACAAATTAGTTCTAATTTTAACCACGTTAGTTCTAATTTATACCACGTTAGTTCTAATTTATTCAAAGTTAGTTCTAATTTATACAAGCTTAGTTCTATTTTATACCAAGTTAGTTCTATTTTATACCACGTTAGTTCTAATTTTAACCATATTAGTTCTAATTTATAACAAGTTAGTTCTAATTTATAACAAATTAGTTCTAATTTTAACCACGTTAGTTCTAATTTATACCACTTTAGTTCTAATTTATACCAAGTTAGTTCTAACACGCTACAGAATAGAACTAACACTGTGCAGATTAGAACTAACACGCTACAGAATAGAACTAACACTGTGCAGATTAGAACTAACACGCTACAGAATAGAACTAACAATGTGCAGATTAGAACTAACACGCTACAGAATAGAACTAACACTGTGCAGATTAGAACTAACACTGTGCAGATTAGAACTAACACTCTACAGAATAGAACTAACACTGTGCAGATTAGAACTAACACGCTACAGAATAGAACTAGCTGTGTAGATTAGAACTAACATGAGTTAGTTCTATTTTTATACTAAGTTAGTTCTATTTTATACCACGTTAGTTCTATTTTATACCAAGTTAGTTCTATTTTATACTAAGTTAGTTTTATGTTATAACAAGTTAGTTCTAATTTTAACCCCATTAGTTCTATTTTATACTGAGTTAGAACTAACACGAACACGAAATCAAAGCGAAGATAAGAATACCAACATCAAATTTTAGTATCAAATTCCTGCAAGTTAAGGCATTCAACATTTCTTCAAGGAGAATACTCCATGACAAAACCCAAGCAAAGATAAGAATACCAACATCAAATTTATCAAAAAAGCTTCGCCATCTCCTTCCTCAGCTCCAGCACCAAGATCAGCTCTTAAAATTTCAAACCCAACAGGCATCTCTTCGCCATCTTGACTAACAATCTCCTTAACAAGCAGTGGCTTCTCATCAAATTCCAAAAAAAAGAGTGGCTTTGTGCCTGCAGCCCCTTCATTTTCATTTTTCTTGGGCATCATGTACTCTTTTCTCTTGGTCATCCTCCTCCGGCCTACCATACTATAAGGTTCAAAAGTGGCAGGCGTAGCGGCGAACTCCGGCTTAGTCGAGGGCGAGACGGGGAGCGACGGCGAGCTACCGCGACGAGGTCGGGCGGAGGAGAGGAGGGGAGGCGAACTCGGGGGAGGCTTGGGTGCCTGGGCAGAGGTGGCGACGGCGAGGAGGGCGAGGGCCAGGGCGACGAGCTTGAGAAAGCCCTTGTTTTTAAAGAGAGAGAGAGAGAGAGAGAGAGAGAGAGAGAGAACTGGGTTTGAAGGATTGAGGAGAGGGGATAATGTTATTTTGGGGAGTTTAGCTTAGCGGAGAGAGAGAGAGAGAGAGAGAGAGAGAGAGAACTGAGTTTGAAGGATTGAGGAGAGAGGATAATGTTACTTTGGGGAGTTTAGCTTAGCTGGCATGTAATAATTGGTAAAAAGGGGCTGCAGCACAAAATGTCACACTTCAAGGGGCTGAACCACATGGGGGAAACTAGGAGGGGCTGCAGCACATG